CGGTGCGCCAGCACCAGGCGTCCTTGAATGTGGGGGTGCCAATTCAAATGGACAGCATCCAGTGATGCTTACTGGAAAAAATACTATTCACAACATTATAACCAAATTTCACAGAGGAATCACAGTCTTTATGCATGAAGATTTTTAAGGGGGTTAATTTATTCAAAGGCATACCTGGGTGTATAAAACAAACCACTCTCTGTTTGGGCTGCATCAAGTACCCACTCCAGGGTGTGTGTCCAATTTCTTGTGGAAAAATGTGGGAAATATTAAAACATAATGGTCCCAAAATGCAGGGGTTGGGGGCAGGGGCAACATAAAATCCCACCCCCCTACTCCTTTTCTTGCTTGTTTGGGAGATGCCAAGCACCCTGAAGTCACCTTTCTATGTCTGGTTCCTCTCTGTGTGTCTGTTTGCTTGTCTGCATGCTTTTCCTGCTTCATGTGCCTGCCACTTGCTCTGCATCTGTGCCTTTTTGATTTTGTCTGGATAGCCTCTCTCAGCCTTTCGCCTCTGGCTCCTATACCAGCTTTTTGTCCCCTCCTCCTCGTCCAAGTGCCTGGTGTCAGGAGAAGGACCCCATGGCCAATGGTTGGCAGCCTCCCATGGTTCCACCCTCCTCCCTGGGCTAGAGGCAGGTCCTCCTAATTAAACCACTCCACTTGGGCTGCAGATCATCAGTTAGCACATGTCCTTGCCAAACCTCCTGCAGCCCTAAGCTGTATGCTAATGCACAGGCCCTTGGCAGCTGTTGCCTCCTGATCCAAAGCCCAGCAAGAGGCCAGAAGTGGAGTCTGGATATCGTGGGAGGGTGAGCTTCCTGCCATCAGGCTCAACATGATGAGCAAGTGCAAAGCCACCTTCCTGCTATGGAGTTTGTCCTGCAGTTGTGCCTTGGAACTTGATGCCCAGCCACCACCCCAAGGGTTTCACTAAGCTGCATGCACTGCCATGCTAGACAGCAGGTGACTTCCTTTTAGGCATGTGGCAGTAAGAGGAAATCCCAAGATCAGTTCCCTGAGGCAGAGGCAATTACCAACTTGAACAGACTATGCAATTTGGTAAAGAGAGTAGTTCAGTTCTGACCTGGGTTAAACTAGTGCAGAAGCAGAAATAATACTTTTTCTTTCAGAGACTTTTCAATTCAAGTTTGATTAACTGACTAGGGAAACACCAGGTGCTCAATGTTTTTTCTTTTAAATCTTTTTTGTTAACTTCCATAGTAGTGTGTAGGGGGTTCTCTTCACATGATCTGCATTGGATGCCAAAATGCGTGGCTGAGGCTCATAGAGAAGTTGTCTCACTATCTTAATAAAGTCTTCATTGTTTAAGCTGCACGTAACAAAAAATAAACAAGCCATCCCTTTCCTCTTTCCCCAAAATGTACAAACGTGACTGGTTTATTCTCTGAATGTGTTCTCAGAGACTTGAAGAGGCTCATTATTCATTATGGCAGAGACAGGTATTTTCAAGGTGGGTGTATCTAGACCTCTGTGTAGGCAGCTGTGCACCCTACATTATGCTCACTATAGTATTTGGCAAAAGGCAAGCCTTATTATCCAGCACATACAGTTGATATATGCTGGCTGACATATAAAGTTGTAAAGCTGTAAGTAACATATCAATAAATACCACAGCTTTTATAATACAATATATCAACAACTGACACCTTGGTTTAGATCCATTTTGATGCCAGTGGGGGCATGCACAAATCTCTGCAGGAATTAAACATATATATATATATATTTCCAAAATAAGGATTGCTGTGGTTAAGGACTTCATTCTGCAGTTCTTTACTATGCTTCAAATATGCTAAAATAGGGTTCCCTGCTTTAAACTGAAAAGCCAGACTTCATAATGCACCATTTGGTATATTTCTTGACTTCATGACATCTGTCTTTCTCAGTTGGTTTCAGGACAGGACCCTTAACAGGGATAGCTAATGTTCCTCTGACAGAACCCAGTTTTGTGTCTCAGGTCTGAGGCTGAGCACATGTGATATGGAAATCATTAAGTGACAATAAACATGTGAAACCACCAGGGCAATTTTACAGAATGATTTTTCAGTGCACTCTGTGGCTATTATTCTTTGAAATGTTTGCAATGTAATGAATTCAGCAAGAGCAAACAAACAAACAACAAAACCAACAACTGTCTTGTTGCCAGAAAGCTAAAACAGGCAACCATGAGGCTCAGGCATCAGCTAAGTCTTTTGGGGCACGTCTACACGTGTTGCTATACCACTGGTGTTAGTGCGCCGTCATTTTTGGAAGTACTAAACAATGGTGCAATAAGAGTCCATAGTGCGCCACACATGCTTATTTTTAGGCATTATGTCATAGTAGTGATGTGCTATAATGAGGTAGTGCATTGCTATAGCGATGTAGCTGTTGTGTCACCGTTCTTGCCCACAGGTGATATGTTGCCATAGTGCATTGCTATGGCGATGTAATGTCACTTGTAGATGCGCCCTGGGTGACTCATTTTACAGGAGACCCCACTGCAAGACATCTTACTTTTTTGTCTTCTAAATGGATATTTGTAATAAGCTTCTATTCTGCCAGGTGTTTATTTTGCATTTTGCGTTGTCATTTTCTGAGCACTCACATGGCCAGAGAGGGACCAGCCCTGGATTAATCCCTATATTTACTGGTGAGTAGGCACAGTTTCTGTGTTCTGTAACACGGGTTTGCAGCACATGCTTCCTTCAGTAGAGCAAGCCAGAACTATTAGACTGCTCTGTCTACTTTTGCCTTTCACATCTAAAGCTATTTGACTTTGCCTGTCAACACCAATGTCCTCATATAGACATCTTTATATGTTGTATATCATATAAATCATAAAGTCCTTTTTTTTGGTGACTGAACATACTAGCAGGATGTACTATTCTATCATCATCTTACATGCGTTCAAAACAGATTTATTTTGGAGAACTCCTGATAATAAACATGAAGTAAATATTTTTTATCTCACCAGACTTTATTATTAAGGGGGATGGATTGAGAGCTCACTTCCTGCACATACTTCCTTCCTATTTTTGGCCAGGTAAAATAGTAGGTTTAAGGAGTCTGTGGCTGAGATGCATGTGGTATATCAGAAAAACAACAGCATATTTAGTGGCTTGAAAATTTTGTGGGTTGGCACTATGCTGCCTTCAAATTCTTTTGCAGGCATTCAGGGAATGGCCAAGTTGTACTGGGATTTGACGGAAGTACAAGTCAGCGTAGTTTTACGACAGCTGAAGCTCAGCTAAAAACAAAACCAACATCAGCTCAGTGGCTCCTTATTGAGTAAAGGCATCATTCGTGATTCCACTGTGGAGTTTTCAGTGCAAGATATTTCCACTCTGGTACAGACCAATGGCAAGATTTGTTCTTTCAGTGTGCAGCTGTTATGCCAGAGAAAAGGAAAATCTTGTGGTTGTCATTGGTTAGGCCCTGCTGTGGGCCCCTGGAGAAATAGTTTTAGTTTCAGTTCCTAAATCTGTTACAGACTTCATGTGTGTGCACTGGTAAATCACTTTTTGTCTGGCTGTGAAAAGTATTTTTGTCTGGCTGCGATAAGTACTTCTATCTGTAAAATGAAGATAATACTAATAGCGCTGTGAGAATTAATGATTGCATGCTGTGTGCCAATATATTTGAGCGATAGCGGCATTTTTTGTGCCCAGGAAGACAGGAATTGTCCATTGTTCGGCACCATCCTTTATAGAGTCTTCTGGTGAAGGAAGTTTGAAAATTTGACCGGTGTTCCTATGAAACTCTGTAGGAAGCTAGCAGAAGATCTTGCATACCTTGATAATGAGTCCTGTATGGGGCCCTGGGTAGAACGGAAAACGCTATATTACTCAGAATGGACAACCACAGACTGTGGGTTGGTGAGGGGCAGAAGGAAAGAGATGATGATGCCAAGAAGTGTGTGTATGTTGTTATGGGCCAGATTCATCATAGGGCAACTTGAAAATATGTAGGTTACCTCCTCTCACAGCTTTTGTTTCAGGTGGTCTATAGATTCATGTAGATATCAGCATATTACATGCACTCAGGTCACATTTTCAAGCTTTTCTTTGAAACTAAATGGTCTAAATTGATTTTGTTAATGAAAGCTGAGATTTTTTCCTTGGTTCCATGACTCAAGGAGCTGGTGGCATAGACCTGAATCTATACACAACATATTCTATACTCTGGCTTTGGTTTCAGAGGGAATATGGTGCAGTTATGTCCACTTATTTATATATTTCTTTTGCATCTTGTTATAGTGTAATGTTTGGGAAGTACTAAATGTATGCATGACAGTAACAAACACAAATGTGTGAGGTTCTTTTCTCTTTTGTATCAATCCTGTGAACTTAGGGTCTTGGTGGTACATGTCGGCTATTTTTCTGATGAACACTCTATGTGTTGCATTTCAATTTACCCCTCTCCCTTAACCCAAAAGAAGCATGAAATTCTAACATTTATCCCTATTTTATACCTTTCAGTGTAAATGGCTTTCATCGACTACCTGAATTGCAAGTCTACGGTTGAGTCCTTCTCCAATACCCTCATTGAGGGAAGATATCTGTGATGTCTTGCTTACTCAGCAAAAGACCGCCAAGCAAAAGTCTTCAAGGAGTGCTTCCCCCAGCCAAACAGTATAAATAGACTAAATATTCTATGAGAAGATTTGGATTCTCAGAAAGTTGTAAAGTTCCCAGTAATAGCTTGAAATTGTGCATAGGATATGTATGACAAGAGATTGGACCACGGGTTAAATTACAGAAAAGCTGGTATTATGATTAAAAAGGGTTGTTATAGTCCCATCTTTGGAAAAGTTAAATTCTTTTACATGCCTATTCAATTCCTCAGTAGAAATGCTTAAAACTGCTCAATTCATTTGAATTAAGGAAGTTAAACATCACTGCAGCAACTTAAGAAAACCCTCTTGACTTCCTGGAAACTGAAAAAAAAACGCATTTTAAAGAAGTAAGTAGAATAGTCTCTGACATCACTTAGCTACATAGTGAGATCGCAAGTGGTTAGTCTTTGGATGACAGAGGAAACTGCTCTCTGACTGATAAGCAGACATTGCAGCGTATGTTCATGGTTATTTTCCTTTTGATTCAAGTTTTGCAGAGAAATTCTTTTACAGAGAGATAACAATTATTTTGCTTTCTAGAGAGAGACACATGCTGTTTCATAAGGATACGCCTGATTTCCAGATATAACCATGTTTTTGTGGCTTAAACTCTTGGCATTTGGCTTTGCCCTTCTGGAGAAGGATGTTTTTGTCAAAGGTAGGTAGCAGTTGACATTTCATTCCCTAATTTTAGAATGGTAGCATTCTTTTGGTAGAACAGAGGAAATGTTAAAGCTTTGCAATATGAAGACTTGGCAACTTTGTCCAAAAACTGTAATATATGTTGTCTAAAGTGGCAGCGGGTCACTAAATCAGGAAGCCATCGCATATGAAGTACAAAACTAAAATGCTTCCTGTGTAGCCATGCTCAAGAGGTGTATACGCTATTTTTAACAGAAAGTATGGCATTTTTTCTTTATTTTACTTTATTCAAATCATTTGAGAAACAATGGATTTACAGCTCTTGAAAGTACTAATATAATAGAATCTTGTTTTATTTTTTGTGAGTCAACAACTTTTTTTCTTCAGTGTTTGAAGGCATTAAAAATGAAAATCCAATTTTTGGATTCAAATTTCTCCCTGATCTCAGATTCTACATGCAGTTTCCCAAATTTTATTTCTCTTGTAAAGAGGTTGAAAAGAAATTCAGAAGCTGATTGGACCATGGAAAATTGTAGTGTTTCTATTGTTGCCATTACCATTAATAGTTTTCAGAAAATAAATTCATTTTGCTGGGACATTAGCTTGTAAACAGTGAAACTTTTAGAGGGACTTTGGAATTTAGAATTGACTCGCTGGTGAACGTAGATTACTTTACCTCTGTCAGGCCTGAAAAAATAAAGATGCTCTAATACTCTGATTCTACAGAACTAATTACTAGATATAGAGCTCATTAGTAGTAGTATTAGTCAGTAGGTATTATTCAAGGTAGAAAATATTACACGTGGAATAAGAATTTGTGCGATCCGGGTCTGCATGTTTTGTATAAGAGAAGAGAGTGTCATAGTGCTATATTTATTTCCTTTCAGATCATCCAGTTAATATATTTCAAGATGATAGTGCATTTATTGTAGTTTCAAGCTGTTTCTTAGGAAATTTTAAGCTGAAAAAGTAGTCCATAATTTATATAATTCAAGATCGTAGCAAATGACATGCAGAGCCTTGACTTTCTTTCATGTATCCCAGCTTTACAGTTGTGTTACTAAACTGACTTCAGCTTCTCATCAGTATAAGCAAAAAAAAAAAAAAAAAACCACAAAAGAAGAAAAAGAAGAAAAAAACCCCAACATTTTGCTAACATGTTTTTTAGTTGCTTTGGACTCTGGACATTAATTCTGTTATCCTTGAAAGTCTCTATAGAGAAAAGGCACTCAATAGATGTGGTTGGTAGCTGTTGGATATTATATGAAAACAAGTGAACACTATACTGTAAAGCAAAAGAGCAAAAATATTTTTCTTTTGTATCTGATCTATTTTTCATTTTGTATCTCATTTCTATGGCTTCCTGCCGCTCCCCTTTCTTCAGGAAGGGCAGGTAAATGCCTGCCTTCATGGCCACCTCCATTATCAATTGATGCAGTGGCTAACAGAGGGGGCTGAAAGAGGGAATAGGGAGGTAACGGTATTATACCTCAAAAGGCAGATTCTTATGCTCTCTGTCTACATACACAGGTCTGGCTTTGGCTAGTGTTTTCCTACTGAGTTGCTAATAAAACTGTTATAGGAACCTCAGGTTGCAGAAAGACAGTACAAATGCAGCAAGAGTTCAAACACTGTGATGGAATAAAGGTCTTTGAGTATTATGAGACAGACTATATTTGGCTTTAAATTATTTTTCTTGGTCCCTGTTTCTTGTAAGTCATTCTTCATTTTTCTCCTTGCTACTTCCGGTGTGATTATGTGCAAGTTTCCCCTCTTGTTTAATTGAAGTAAAAGTATTTACCTCGTTTGCTAAACACTTTGTAATTAGCAAATGAAAAACACTGTACAAGAGCTACTTATTGTTGCCATTATTAATCATGGTAGCTTACTTTTTTTCTGCATCTGCTGTATCAAATAACCAACTCAACAAGTAAAGTAATTAATTCGTCAGCAGAATAAAATCATGTGGTGTATTGCATGGTGGGAATAAGAAGCCAGTGCTCTGACTTCTTTATTGGTTCATAGGTAGAATTGAAGGAGGTTAACCAATATTGTTAAAGTCATGCTTACTTGAGAGACCCCTAATAGTGGACCAGTTCTATACTGGCATTGTTACCAATGGGACCAGTCTTGTAATCTCCCTTTATAATTCACCTTTGTAACCTCTTTGATTTTCAGAGGCTTGTGACTGGGGACAAAGCATTGGAGAGGAAGTGATGGCACTAACAGTCCCGTCAAAATGGGTGTGGTGCTGTGCTCAATCTTTATTGATCAGTGTTGCCAGGTGGACTTGAAGCATCTGTTAAGCTTTTTGGGCTGGAATTCACTGTCAAAGGGGTAAACATTGGGAAAGGTTTGTGGTGAGTGTGTTTCAAGCTGTGTTTTCACATTAGAATTTGCATCCAAGCGTTGGAGTGATCTGTACCGAATCTGAGATGCTGTAAAGGTTGCGGCTGCTCAGAAAATTCTGTGCATGGATACACTTCTCAAAGTCAGGCCTAGTAAAGTGTCTAGAGCTGGGCACCCAGAATCACACATCACTTTAAAAGCCTCCACCTACATTTTTAAAGGAATAGCTAGAAAAAGAAGAACAATGGTAGCACTGGGGCCTTCATGTGTAATGGCTTTGTAACTATCCCAGCCATAATACGAGAATATGAGTTGGTTCTTGTTATTTCCTCTAGCACAAGCTTCTGCCAAACGGTCAGAAGACAAATGTTGTATTTTAGGGTCAAGTGGTAGTGTGTGCAGGTGCCTATCTTTATGAAGCACTGTAGTTGGTCTCCACGTTTTTTTTTAATTGTGTAGAGGATAGACGTCCTTTCCTCCCACCTGCCCACTGCTTCAGGCCCCATTCTTCCCCCCTCCTCACCCTGCTAAAAGCATTGGTACATTGACAGTTTTCAAAAGCCTTCACCCACTGCTGAGTCACTTCTGTTTTTAAGATGCTGCTTGCTTACTTGATGTAGGTGGGACTTATTTTTTAAATTAAAAAATAAAGGCTTTTTTTAAATTTAAAAATTAAAGGGCAGTGTCACGAAAATAGTCTTATGAGAAACAATGAACCCCAACTTCACACAAGAGAACTTTGTTTTCATCTGCACTGGCCGCAAACTTCAGCAGAACTTCATCTTGTTTTTGCACCCCCGCATACAAGTTAGATGTAAAGTATATAGCCATAGGCGGCGGAAGGCTGGGGCTAACAGGGCTTAGCCCCCCTCAGCCCCCCAAACACAGCTCCACTGATGCAGTGCCATCACCATGCCCTGCTGCTGCAATGCTGTGCCCAGCTCCCCACCATGCGCTGGCCCTGTAACGGCTCTGAGGGAGGGAGGGGCAGCCCTGTATTGCCTCCCAACCCCCTGCAAATAATGTTTTCTCCCACCACTGTTGTATATAGCAGGTGTGTGTTGGGGGCGGGGCAGATGGGTAGGATTGGTGGGGCAGTGAGGTAGGAAGAGTGCGGCCTGAGGGCTGAGCTGACCATGTGGGCTTCCACAGCCCTGGGTCTGCTCTCATAAAGATATGCAGACCTTCATTAGATGAGGCTAACCTGTTCCTAAACTAATTTACCTCATCTGCACTCAGTTAGATTGGGCTGGCCATTTTTGGCCCAATCTAACCTTCCTGAACATCCATACAGACTGGCACTTAGATCAACCTAACCCTATTAAGGTCAATCTAAGTGTAATGTCTGCACATACCCTTGGTGACTACACAAGTGCACAGTGAAATCCAGTCTCTGTCTTGACAAGGCAGGAAAGGTGAGAAAGGAACAAGAAGTGAAATAACACTGCACTGGTCGCATAGCAGGTAGTGGTTGCAATTAGGAAGAGAGGCTTGGTCTCCTGACTTGTAAGACAGTATTTAGTCACAAACCTAAGCTGCCCCCCAAACAATACTTATGTATATTGGATGATCTGGAGGTTTTCACGCTCAAATCATGAGTCTACTGCATGCATCGAATAACTATTTTGTTAACGTTTCTTTTCTTGAGGAACCGCATTGGGGTGCATTCTGGACAGGCACAATCCTCTGCTTCTGTTCCAAAGCTAACTAAGAAACAACACTTCTGGGGGCATGTCTACGCTCCAGATGGCAGGGTAGTATAAAAATTCTTAAGTTAGTATAGCCACAGCTAGATTTACCTGAGAAGCTAGATAGTTTGACCCATGTTGAACTCCCTACTGCCACATGTAAACTGCCCTCATACCAGAGTTAGCAGACTTAAGACTTAGCTTAAATAAACTTAAATAAGCAAGCCTGGATATTTCTGCATGACTATAATCTGAACAAGTAGAAACTAAGTTAATGCTCTGTCCAGCTCTGCTTCAGAGGTAGTTTTCCCATAAGCCTCCATTCACCTGTTCTGTATTCTGTATGCACCTGTTTACCTTATATACTGTGTCAGAAGAATGCTTTCAGTCAGACTGGATTGCCAGTGCTGTCCAGGAAATAGCAGTGTGGATCCTGGAGCCTATTGCCTTGTCCATTATTTTAGGCTGAAAGTTAGGTGTTAACTAGATATGAATGTAAACAGCAATAAACAAGATGGTTGCTATCTCTAAGGGTCAATTCAGGAGTCGAATTAGTTTGGAATCAGTTTATGCAATGCAGTGATGCAAATCTTGTAATGGCAAAACTCTTGACTTCCTTCTGTAAAAATAAAGATTAAAAAAAACAGTTGTGAAACTGCCTTTACTGAAATGTTACGGTTTTTTTTTAGTTGAAACTGAGACTCAGACTGCTGTATTGTATTTTTCTATATATATTTTCAGGTAATTTGTTACCTTAAAAGTGGTTCCATGTTCCCTGGAGTTTCATTAACCACTAAACTATCTTATCTATTTCCAGATTCTTTTTCTTTTAGGTAAAACTGTTTGGGGCCTTTAGTATCAGGATTTTAAAAGTTAGCTTTAAGATCTTCAATGCCAGCTTGCATTGTACATAGTGGTGTATAGCTATAGAATCTATTTCCTTCCTTTTCTATTATACTTCTACCTTCACAGTACTGTT